ATATTGGTAAAGCTAGAACCAATGATCATGAATCGCCAAAATGTTTAATAAACTGGCGAATGAAGCTCAGATCTTCAGGATGGTGTCTTTTTTCAGTTTCTTTTCAGTTAAGAGACAATTACATGTAATTGATACACATATTTAGAACAGCAGAATACTTTCCTAGAGAAGAGGTATTTTTAATTACGATGTCATGAACTTGTAGCTTAAAATTTTCATTCTAAAGCAGTCATTTCTTTATTAGAAGAAATTCTATGACTGTATGGAGATAAGGTGTCTTAACATTTATTCCTTATTAATCATAACAGTGGTGTCTGTTTCACCACATGTCAATTGTCTGTATCTTGTAACAAAGTATAAAATGCAATTTGATGATGTTTTGTAAAAATCATTTAATATATACATGTAATATATATACGTGTATCTCTTAGTTCATCACCCGCTGTAAGATATAGTTTATTTTGAATTACTTGTATAAGCTGTTACGAAAGCCCAGAAGGCTCATTCGAGATTCGAGTTTCGAAATACGAGATTCGAAATTCGAGATTGTAGATGAGAATTACTAGTGTGCAATTAAACAAGTGACAAGCGATTAATAATAAATAGTAATACGGGTTTCAAAGTGGATATATTTTGTGACAAAGTATTAGAATGTGACCGGTGACTAATACAGGTTTCAAAATAAGTGTGCAATAAAAACAAGTGACTAGCGATTAATAATAATTAGTAATACGGGTTTCAAATGGGATATTGTTTGTGACAAGGTATTAGAAAGTGACCAGTGACCAAATTTGTGAAACCAAGAGACAGTCCCTTAAGTACGGATGGCTGAAATATACATGCTTAATAAAGATAATGATTTCTCTTTGTTCAGGCCCGTCGGAAATAACAATTAAAAAATCACTGTAACCCCCCCCCCAATAAAAAAAAAACCTACAGGAGGTTTTCACGGTTATTAGACGTTATTTTTGAAAGGACACAAGCATGAAGTTGCTATGTTTTCTCTAGTATATTATATAGGTAAAAAATATAAGGGGAATGTGTGTGTGTGTGGGGGGGGGGGGAGACAAGTGCCCAGGGTCCTATGACTATGTTGTTTATTTTATTACAACGGTAGACAAATGTTCAGTTATCAACATTCAGTGTCAATCTTGCGATGCATGGGCAAAATAATTATTTATCCCATGTTTACCCCTTTATCCCGTGGATATGACTCATTGGATATTTTTTTCATATTCCACAGTTAAGTGCAGTTGTGACGTCACAATGGTTTTAGCGTTAGCGTGATGAAGTAAAATAAAGTGGAGTCCTATATATAAATATAGGATCTCCCATGATTTGTAGTTGGATATGATTTTATCCAACGAGTTGTGTGTTTTTTATCCCCGAGCCTTGGCGAGGGGATAAAAACACACAACGAGTTGGATAAAAGTCATATCCAACTACAAATCATGGGAGATTCTTTTTATCCCATGTTTAATACTTCATAACCAATGTTTTACACTGTTTTATATAGAACTCCACTTTATTTTACTTCATCGCGCTAACGCAAAAACCATTGTGACGTCACAACTGTGGATTATGAAAAAATTATCCAATGAGTCATATCCACGGGATAAAGGGGTAAACATGGGATAAAACAGTGTAAAACATTGGTTGTGAAGTATTAAACATGGGATAAAAAGAGTCTCCCATGATTTGTGGTTGGATACGACTTTTATCCAAAAAACAAACAAATAAACAGATTAACTCAGCGTTTGAATTGATATTATTTTTTTTTCTGACGATAACATGATTTTTTAAATGAAAATTAAATAGCGGGGGGGGGGGGGGGGGGGGGAGGGGGGGTTAGATAGATAATTGTTTCATTTTCCAAGGTCTTTAATAACCGTCTGACAATTAAGCCAGCCCGTAATTTACCCCTCGTTGTCACCAATAGGATACGTACTTGACCCTTCAAAGTTCTTGTTTGTTTTATCAGTTAGCACTTTAATGAATAATATTGTCCCCTCATTCCTTGATTATCATCAGTGTGCTCGTGAAAAGTCTTTTAATATTAATTTTAAAAAAAAGCGATCCTTCATTGATGTGTTAAATTCATGTATTTAATTCAAGGCGCAAAACTGAAAATATATATAAATATATTTCCTGATGAAATTCTGCTTGGGCCGAGGTGTCTTATTATGGGCCGACCTGTCTTAAATCTTGGGCCGAGATGTCAATGGGCCGAGGTGTCTGGCATTCCTCGCAAGACACATAACCAATCAATACACAAGTTTCAATACATGATGTAATGACCACAGAAAAAAAGATATAAAAGTATATAATAATGATAAAAAAAAAAAAATAACTATTTTAACAAACAATGGACCCTCTTTACACCTTTAGGACTTCGAAAAAATCGTATAGCCTAAAGGAGTACATATTAAAATTACTTAGTTCATGTATGCCTTTTTTAGTGTACACAGGGAATCTTGAAAGACATTGTAGTAGTGATAAAGAAAAATCGCGTTCGCTTTCCCAATGGTGTATATTCCATATAGGCAAAAAGGCTGTAGCCTACACATCATTTTTTTATGTAAAAAAAAAAATATTCATAAATGTATTTGGTTGAAAAATGGGGGAAAGTTAATTATAAATCTTATTTATTTACCAGTTTCTAGAATATTTTTTCATCAAATGCAATAAAAGTATTTTTAGCAACCCACACTTTTATGCCTATCCAGTTTTTACAGTATGCAAAACTTTTGATTTTTATAGCTGGTTAAATCTAAAATTGAAATGTTACCTAGAAGTCGATATCAGACTATTAAAAATGACAGCAACAGGAGTCTACGATTAGGACGGAATAGAAATTAGGAAATATGTTTAGGTTAGTAGGAAGTCAAACAAAAACATTTTAAAAATTAGATTATTCAATAAAAAAGTTTCCATAATTTCCAAGCACTGTGTAAGGATTTTAAAATTTCTCAATTTTATCAAGAGTGGTCATGAAGATTTTAATTTCTGTATCATAAATGATTTATAATTATATTCACTGGAAAAATGAAAGTGGTCCTCCGATCACCCCCACCCCCCCCCCCCCCCTCTATTGGACTCCCTTTCGTAACCGCAATTCGGCAATGATGCGCTTTAGGTGAAATCTGTGACTTCACATTAGCCTACACATTAGCAAAAGGGAATAAACACCACTGTTTCCCAGTAGGAGAAATACATAAAAATTAAGTTTTCAATTACTTATCTTGGTTTAAGGCTTGGAATACTTGAATTAATTAAAAATTATATATACAATACAGACTGGTTTATCTTATTCCATATCAAAAAGTAGATTAGTCTAACTGCACAAATGCACCCTTAAATGTAATGAAATGTATCCTTAATTAAATTACTGTGCAGTGTAAAGACAATCCTTAGTACTTCATAATAATTCTCCCTCATCAATGTGCTTATTGCAAAATTTATCGGCCTACTAATTTCGCAATTCAACGATAAGACCATATAATATTCTATATATGTATCTATTGTTTTGCTTAATGAGGGAAATAAGATTTTATACATATTTTTCAAAATGTTACCCAAAATTCATTTTTATTTTGTGTTGATACATATAACATTTTTTCTTGCATTACTATTTAAGCAAATGACCCATTTGTTATAAATACATTCAGTGATTTCTTGATAGTAAAAACTTAATGAAGGGGAGTAATCAAATATTGAATCAGCCTTTTGATTGGTTAGTTTGGATCTTGAATCTCGAAACTCGAATTTCGAATCTCGAATTTCGAATCTCGTATTTCGAAACTCGAATCTCGAATGAGCCTTCTGGGCTTTCGTAAAGCTGTACTAAATCTCTATATGGATTTATTAATAAATATAACTTGTATATAAGAAAAAAAAAGTCATTGTTTTTCTCCTTATTTAAATACAAAGAGTTTTAAAATATTAATGTATTTGGGCACGTGACAACTTTGACTATCACGAAAGTATTCGAAATTCCACGATCTGTGACAGTATTCAAAGCGGAATGTGTATGTGTCTGAATCAATTCAACTTTCGTTTTTAAAACCATAGGAAATAATTATCTTTTTTTCTTGTGAAAGAGAAGTAACTCAAAGACCAGCGGTTAGAGATGTACAAGGTCACAAATCCCTGACTTCTGGTTTGTTGGATGCCTACTGCATGAGGAGAACACATTTGGGGTGGGGTTGGGGTCTTTCTTAACTTATAATATACATGTACATGTAGTGATCACATGCCTTTACGTTCTAAATACATGTATTTATTGACCCCCTTCCAAAAAAAAAAATCATGCTATATTACAGTATGGAATTTTTTTCGGCAATAAAAGGGAAATATTTAAAACGTCAAGTGCCTGTGGTAGTAATTTAGGAAAGTATATTTAGGAAAGCGTAGCACATTAACTATATGTATACAGCACAGGCCCTTAGATCGCTTTAAAAAATATCTTTTTTATACACCCAACATTTTTTTAAAAATCGGATTTAAGCGTCTAAAGGCTTGTGGTATACAGCTTGCTGTCCACATCACTCAGTCAGTAGCGAATTTCCGAGAGAGAGAGGGGGGGGAGGGGCAGCAAGACTAAATTGTTTTCGGCACAGCGGATCTGTTTATACCGGCAACATGTACATTTAAAAAAATCTTTATAGAAAATACGCGATGTGGTCTATGGAAGCAGGCCTAACTAAAAATTATTTTTCTCTTGTTGATATTTGATTCGGTTAAACGTTCTCTTTCGGGAATAGACCCATTTTTAAAAATCATATCACAAATATATAACCCTAATCTAATAAATGATTTCATATAAGGTGGGGGTTACAAAAATACGACATCAATTCATTCGATGACACCCGAACGTTTTTGTGCAATCCGGATAAAATGATTTCTATCAAATAAATCTTATTTTAGGTTGCGATACTTGTTTCCTGGTGTAAATATTGCACAAGTGACAGCAAGAGTCGAAGAGAGGAAGAGTGATTTATATCAAAATACAGGATGAAACACAAAAATTATGTGACCTGTACTAGTGCAGTGCGATAAATTCTTCTTCTGGCGGTCATTTGTTACGTTTGTTCTTGAATTCTTAAGTTTGTTCCCTTCTAGAACGACGCGTTGTCACGGACGCTTAGTCAGAACGACGGAGGGTAAACATGCTTGAAAGTGATAAAACTGTTCCGGTCTGTACTCTGACATTTTTTGTTATTCTGCTTATATTAATGTACTTGGATGTCCCTGGTGTAAAATTGGTAGTTATGGGTGTATATTACATATTATCGGTTATTTTTGGCTTATTTTTCCTTGTTGGCCTATTGAGACCTGTTATGAGAAGAATACAAAGCGTTATCTTTTGGATCGGTTCTAAGATTTCCAATGTGTACTCGTTTTTCAATTCAGAAGTGAGTGATGTTTGTGAATATTTGACTCCTGTGCATCAAGTGACTGTGTCTAGTCCTGTTCTTTTCCTTGTAGGTAAGCTTAGAGTTAGATCTTGAAAAGTAGAGATACATGTAATTTATACTGGTGCTCTAACGATTTAGCTATGCAATAGAGCATAAAGCATTACATGCAATGGGCTTATAGACATGATAGCTAATTTTGGCTGTTAAAACAAATTACATTATACTTTTATGTCAGGAGGTAAGTTGATGCAGAGTGATGCAGAGAAATTGTGCAAGTAATAATTTATATTGGGATCAATGTGCTATTTTTCAAGGGTCATGCTCAACTTTGTTGCACCCTTGTTCAACTTGTCAAAAGATACTAATCTAACAACCAAGGAAAAAATATTCTAAAGAGTTTAGTTTCACACATATCCAATAAAAAATATGTTAAAGAAATATGCAATTGAATATACATACAACATGGTACATTTTGTAAATCACCAGTTTTTGGCCTGTGTACCTTACCTTCACTAAGATACATGTAAGTGGGCTACTTGATATTTTAATATGAGAGAATTCTTTTTTTGTTGTTTTTGGTTTATGTTGTATATAATCTTTAATAATGAAGATATACACAAAAATGAGAAATTTTTGCAGCTGATGGTCTTGCATAATAATGCAAAAATAAAGTTCTTGTAAATAAAATGCTATTTACAATATACAAATGGATTTATAATTCTTTTTCCTTTTGATCATGTAGAAAACTTAAAACCAACAATTACACCACAAGCTGTGTTTCGGGTACTAACTAGAAAGAATGATTTTGATGGAAAAGAGTTTCTCCAGATAGTCATTCCAGTTGACGCAAAACAGCCAAATATTGGGACTACTGGTAAAGCATTAGTGTCAATACCAAGGGAGCATCTTATTGCCAGTGGAATTCTTCAAATGTGCAAGTAATTGTTTTAAATTTTCACAACTTCAAGTTCATTTTCAAGTAAAAACAATATTCAGAGTAAGCCAGAAAAAAGAACTTTTAACAAACTTTGCAACAAGCTTACTTTTGGGTTACCGAACAGTTGAACCTTTGATACATGTATCTTGAACACTGATACATGTATCTGGGATACCATGAATATGTTGAAGTAAATTGGAAGTCCCAACTGCAGATTCTTTAAGTATTAAACCTTGATATCTCGAATACTCAGATATCTTGATTTTTTTTCTCAGTCCCATCAAGTTCGAGATAATGAGGTTTTACTGTATTTGCATTCAGAAAATATTCAATCAAGTTTGGTGCATTATAGAGTACTATATGCAGTAAAATACAGGGTGACAATTTTTTCTATCCATGCATACCTTGCCACTGATATTTTACAAAGACAAAATAAAAGTATCTTAGAGCTCTTTTTTTATGCCAAAATCTTGTTAATCTTTTCTGTATTTAATTACTGTTGTAGTCCTTCCTCTTCGTTATCTGATAATTGGACAGTCCAGAAAGTCAATAGTAGACAATTGTTACAATTCAAAAACATCAAAAGCTGGAGAGTCAAAGGAAAAGCTGACCAAGTTACATCATGCCCTCTACTTAAGGAAATTAAAACACAGTTTGGCTACAGCGTTATTGACTGTGGGTGTTCTTTGTTTGACTGCAAGGATTTCAAGCAAAAGTATCAAATTTTTGTCCATAAACTTGCATCAAAAGGTAGGCATAGTTTGATAATTGCCAATTACTTGTATGGTCAAAAACCTTCAATATTTCTATATATAACTTATATTTTACTTTATGTTAGGCAGTTGTGAAATATGTAGTAATATACATGTACAATTTGTTTTATGTTCCAACCCCCATTTATATATACTATAGGTGCTTGGAATTCTAATTTTATAGACTCTTTTTGATTGAATGTTTTGTTAGTTTAGCCCACTGACACACACAAAAAAAATCATATACTAATGAAAAACAAACTGATAAGCATACCTGTCCAAGAGTTTTATGCTTGGTTCAGTTCAAGAGAACACCAAAGAAAAGAAACTAATGAGCCTAATAATTAACCCATCATAGTTTAATGATTTATATGGAGATTTTTAAATTTTGATTAAAACTTTCATCTTTCTTTTATTTCATCTAATATTTTATTATGCATTTCCTCTATCTATAGGTGTTCTGCGGTTAGTTATAAAAGCTGACACATTACAGAAATCTAAAGCTGCACTGGAGTTTTGTAGAGACAGCAAGTATAGTCATTTTATCTACGTGGAGGCAGGTAATGAGAAAAAAATTAGGCATATCATTCTGACATGCAGAAGCACATGAAAAAAAAACACACAGAATATATTATATTTTAAAGTTTTTATTATCTTTGAGATAAGATATGGAGATTTCATTTTATGCTCATTTCAGTAAAGTAAGAGAGATTTTAACCATAGCAATTCACATCCTTATTTTCTGGGGTTGAACACAATATATATGATGTAAATGCCTATGACTTATTTCCTCTTTTACAGGATTTGATCTGGATCTTAAGAATAAGAATTCAGAGGTGAGGGCTTGTTTGAAATATGTCAAACAAATCCGGAGTCACAAAGGATTTGCATGTATTGGAGGTGTTCCTCTTGGTTATCATGCAGGCAAACTTACCGGTACTAAAGAGAAACAGCTGCAGGACTTTAAAGAAATCGTGAGTGTATCATATATATCGCATATTTTGATTCAGTGCAGTAACAGGAACATAAAATTGAGCTTTATTTTTTTAATGTTGTACATGTAATTGCAATAAAATTTTTTGGCAATACCTATCCCTACTTTTAGGAATATTAGTGTAGAGTAACTTAATTAATATCCTTGGCTTACTGAGACTGTGAAATAACACTTTTTTTGTTATCTCCTTACACTATAACATTGTTTTAGTCCAAAACTATTTAACCACTAATTTTATCTACTTGCAGGTTCCATTCTGTTACAACCAAAAGATTCCAATACATTTTCATGTAGGACCAAATCAGAGTATTCATAGAGACTTTCTAGATGCCCTTCGCTATTACCAGCTTATGATATATTCCTACTGTGTTTCTCTTAATGAAAATGGCATATACACTGAAGAAGACATTGCTACTCTAGTTAAAGATTTTGGTTGTTTTATAATGATAGAAGGTAAGGACAATCATAAAGGGAATACTTTTATGACACAATCATTATTAAAGGTACATTCTCAAAATGTCTTTCGTCTTGTATTTTTGATTATCAATGCATCATATAGCTTATAAAAATTTTTATTTTTTCCAGGTGATAATTTGAAATATAATTCTAGAGTAGCCTCCCTTATAAAGAATAAAATCATCCCTGTGGAAAAAATAATTCTACAGAGCAATGCACCACACTCCTTCATTGGTGAAACCAAAAAAGAGGCGTGGCACAACATGAAAGACTTTCAAGTAAATTTCTGTCAAAAACAATTAAGATATTTACATCCAGAGAGTTTACAGAACATGTACAATGAAGATGGTGGTTCTGTGCCCACCATTCTGCATTGTGTGATTGAACTTTTGGCAGGGATTGTGGATATTCCTCCATTGTCTCTTGCTAAGACTCTGATTGAAAATACTGAGTTATTCTACAAGTTCTCTGATCCTTCTTAATATTCAAAATGTAAAATATTATTTAATAAATTTTTCAACTTGCCAGAATATGAGGATCCTGATAATGTTCAAAGATATACAAGTAGTATTTCACTGTTCTATTAAAATGTTATTTCACTGTTCTATTAAAATGTTATTTCACTGTTCTATTAAAATGTTATTTCACTGTTCTATCAAAATGTTATTTCATTGTTCTATCAAAATTATATTACACTGTTCTATTATAATGTTATTTCACTTTTCTATTAAAATGTTATTAATTTCACTGTTCTGTCATCATTTTATTTCATTGTTCTGTCAAGATGCTAAAACACTGTATTCTCAAATAACCATGTCTATTGTCTGTGCATAATTGATTGACTTGACAAGGCTATGTGAACTTTTGATTGATACATGAAAGAATGGTTTCAAATTTCATAGATATCAGTATGTGTAAAATAAAGTTTTTTTACCATGTATTTTCTGCATTGAATACTTTCTGAGTTCTGTAGAAAGGAGTTTGACGTCAAGGCTCATATGGTGAGATACTGATTTTTTTGTGACTTGTCATAAGAAAGAAGTGAGTAAAATTGTCTACTGGTAAATGGTATATCAAAGTTTACTCCACTTGACTGACTTACTGTTGCCTTGTTTATCGTATGTATTTGAATGTATAATGTACAAATATTGGAGCTCAGGAAATGTTTATGAGTAAATTTACCTATACTTTTCACACTATCTTTTAAATTCTTTTTTTAAAGGTAAAGCCAATTTTTATCACTTGGTAACCTGTAAATTGCTTTATAAATAATCACACTGGGAATTTTGTTGTTGAATTATTTAATAACCGAAATATAGTCTCATCTATAAAGCATGCATCTACTACACAAAACAATAGTCAACAATAAGGAACATTATAATAAAAATTCTCACCAACATCAGAAACGTATTAAAAATAATGCAACAAAATCAAGTATTATTATTCAAATGAAGCACATAATAAAGATCAGGTGACAAAATTGCACTGATTGGTTTCATGAAAGAAAAACAATAATTTTGTTGACATGTACACAGTATGCTGGCCTGACATACATGTCATACATGTACAGTATGAGGCTATAAATGAGTCATAATTGCATTTTTACACTATATATTTCAATGAAGAACCAATTTTTATCCATACCTATTGTGAGGTCAATTTTAGCTTAATTTCCATGATTTTTTTTTCAATTAATCATGCAGAATTGTTTAAATTTTTCTTGTCATAAAATGCTAAACGAAATGATACACTAATCATTGAGAATAATTTATGAAATCAAGACAAAAATTTCTAACCTCAAATTACTATAATTTCATAACAAATTAGAGACGTAAATTTTTTATTTCGCATTTGACATGTGATATCACCACAATGCCTACAGATAAAATTACATGTAGTTAGAAATGGCATTTAAGTCATAAAAAATAAGCAACAAATAATTCTAAAGTAATATTTTAGAAAAATGCATTTTTCAATAAAATATATAGTGGGAAAATAAAATTATGACTCATTTATGGCCAGGTACATGAAAATGGAAAAAACAAAATGAAATGCACTATGAAAATCTGCAGAACACAAGCAAATGAACTGGAAAAAGTACTTGATGTTTCTTTCCTTTGATCATTAAGAACCAAAATATAAATTGCTTTTTCTCGTATCATGCTTGTGATCATAATTACATGTATATACTCTATTTAAACAAGTAAACAAAATGCACTCTGAAGTGTTTCAGCACCACTAACATTATATAACAAGAGTCCCATGGGCCACATCGCTCACCTGAGCACATTGGCTAGGAAAAAAAGCAAAAATCAGTACAGTATTGAAAAGTTTATGGGGGGGGGGGGGGGGTTGAACTTTAAACTACCTGATGATGCTTTCATATCAATATAACAAATGGCTTTGTTGTTCTTGAGCAGCAGATTTTTTTCCCATATATTCATTTGTAAAAATTTGATCCCCCATTGTGGCCCCACCCTACCCCCGGGGGCCCTCATTTGAACAAATTTCATTCTACACTACCCAAAGATGCCTCCATATCAATTTGAACTAATCATGGCTTTTCTGTTCTTGAGAAAAAGACTTTTTCCTATATATTCCTCTGTAAACTTTGATCACCCATTGTGGCCCCAACCTATCCCTGGGGTAATGATTTGAACAAACTTGAATCTTCACTATCTGAGGATGCTTCCATATAAATATGACCAATCATGGCTTTACTGTTCTTAAGAAGAAGATTTTTAACGATATTTTCCTATATATTTCTATGTAAAACTTTGATCCCCCATTGTGGCCCCACCCTACACCCGGGGATCATGATTTGAACAAATTTGAATCTTCACTACCTGAGGATGCTTCTATATTAAGGATGTCAATTTTGTCAATAATTCATATTCGAATATTCAATGAAAGTATTCGAATATATTCGAATATTCGATAAAATAAATTATATCTGGATTATTTTTAATATTATATCATCCTGCTCTCATGAAAGGTTAATTAGCGTACGTATTCTTATATTGGAAGTAAAATTGTATGAAGACTTTTGTAGGTGTACAATAAGAAATTCCATTTGATATTTGTCAATGTTTGAAATAAATAATTGATTTAAATGTAGAAAAGTATCAATTTAACAAATGATACATGTGTATTTATAGTAGCTCAAACTGGGGAACCAGTCATCTTACCAAAGGCAAGATAGTCGTATACTGTTCAGAGTTCAATACGTGTACATGTAATTAATTACAATTATCAGTCTAATAAGAGATATGATGATAATCTTTGATACAATGTTTTTAAAATATAAACAAATATTTCCATAGACAATTTTCCTAGGTAATTAATTAATTTCCCGATAATGAATATAAAATTCAGGATTATGTACAACCCGATATAATTAAGTAATTTACACATTTTTTCTGAAATTGAGCCCTTAACAATATTAATTACAGACTAATTCTATCGGACATTCATTCAATGATCAATTAAATTTATTTGATAAGTATACCCGTCACGTCTTTTAGACATTTTAAAAAGGTTTTCTTTTGATGTCCTCGATTCTAGATCCGATCGTATTTATTTCATAAAAATGATGAAAGTACGTTTTGTATTATAAATAAAGCATTATTGTATAATTCTTTAACACCGTACTCAAAACAAAATAATTTAGTAGATACATAAGATAAGAAAGTAGTGAAAGAAATCAGGCGATCGAAATTGATCGCTAGTAAATTAAACGGGGATAATTCCAGCACTGTTCTAATAAAAAATTATTAACCACAGTACTTCTTTTTATGAAATCTGAAAAACATCGAATATTCGAATCTTAAATTAATATTCGAATATCAATTCATCGAATGAATATTCGAATGTTCGAATATTCGTTGACATCCCTATTCTATATAAATATGACCAATCATGGCTTTACTGTTTTTAAGAAGATTTTTAGAGATATTTTCCTATGTATTTCTATGTAAAACTTTGATCCCCCATTGTGGCCCCACCCTCCCCCTGGGGGTCATGATTTGAACAAACTTGAATCTTCACTACCTGAGGATGCTTCCATAAAAATATGACCAATCATGGCTTTGCTGTTCTTAAGAAGATTTTTAAAGATATTTTCCTATATATTTATATGTAAAACTTGGATCCCCCATTGTGGCCCCAACCTACCCCCGGGGGTCATGATTTGAACAAACTTGAATCTACACTACCTGAGGATGCTTCCATATAAATATGACCAATCTTGGCTTTACTGTTCTTAAGAAGATTTTTAAAGATATTTTCCTATATATTTCTATGTAAACTTGGATCCCCCATTGTGGCCCCACCCTACTCCCGGGGGTCATGATTTGAATAAACTTGAATTTACACTACCTGAGGATACTTCCATAAAAATATGACCAATCATGGCTTTACTGTTCTTAAGAAGAAGATTTTTAAAGATATTTTCCTATATATTTCTATGTAAAACTTGGATCCCCCATTGTGGCCCCACCCTACCCCCGGGGGTCATGATTTGAACAAACTTGTATCTACACTACCTGAGGATGCTTCCATATAAATATGACCAATCTTGGCTTTACTGTTCTTAAGAAGAAGATTTTTAAAGATATTTTCCTATATATTTCTATGTATAATTTGGATCCCCCATTGTGGCCCCACCCTACCCCCGGGGGTCATGATTTGAACAAACTTGAATCTACACTACCAGAGGATGTTTCCACATAAGTTTCATTTTTCCTGGCCCAGTGGTTCTTGAGAAGAAGATTTTTAAATGATGCCATTATTTTTTTACTAATTCCTAATTATCTCCCCTTGAAAGAGGACGTGGCCCTCCATTTGAACAAACTTGAATCCCCTTTACCCAAGGATGCTTTGTGGCAAGTTTGGTTGAATTTGGCCCAGTGGTTCTTGAGAAGAAGATGAAAATGTGAAAAGTTTACGACGATGCCAATGACGACGACAGACAACGGACAAATTTTGATCAAAAAAGCTCACTTGAGCCTTTGGCTCAGGTGAGCTAAAAAAAAACTCAACTGGAAAACACTATCTTGGCCTTGTGGAACACCTAATTGTATAAAATGAAAATTAATCTGTTTAACCAATTTTCAAGGTTCCAATGCTTAATTATGTATATATACAAGTAACAACAATCCACTTAATACTAAAATCCAAAGATAAGCACAAAATAAAAATCTCTTCAGATCACACATTCTCTCTTCATAAAAATAATATCTCTCAAACATGTATAAAATGTACAGGAAAAAAATTAAGTAAAACATGGAAGGGGGGGGGGGGGTGATAAAACTGCACCTTACTATAAAACATTTGAATAGCAATTTACATTTAATTGAAAGGAGCTGGTAAAAATGTGAATATAAACTGTACAAAGACCATTCTTTTCTCAAAAAATTGTACACTGTAGTATGAAGTATGAAATGATTTAAACCTGGAAGAAAACTATAGTTGCCTTATTATATTACCATGTATATTTGGGACTCGACTGATCATCTTACAGCAACTTACAAAGACAAGAAAAAATGAACAAGAAAATGATCATAAAAGTAAAGATTATGGTTTCTACATCTATTCTGAGTATTTTTCCAATCTTAAAAATGACTTTTATTCCTGTTAAAATTGTCTACCTGGACAATAGAAGCACTTACTTGTTGCATACTTTTAACAGTACCTGTATTATATAACAAGCAGTAAACATGGCAAGATGTTGAAGAGTAAAATTAATGCTGAGGTTTTCCATCATAGCATCAAGTGTAGATCATAGGCACTCAATAATTGCATGACATGCATGTACGTATTATACCTATGCCCTTAAGCCATGAAATGTAAAATCTTGCATGTGAGATTCACTACAGAACTTGGTGGAGGATCTAAGACGATTGGGCAGCATGTCACTGATGTCACTTAAATTTTTGAGTTCTCTGGCAGTCTTATTTTTGTTTCCTTTGACAAGTGGTACAGCCAGGGGTTCATCTTCTTCTGTTGCCATAGTGACTTCTCTGTTCCCATCTTCCTTTGCAGTTTCAATGCCTTCCTTTTTGACACTAACATCAGATGATGATGGTTCTTTGTCAGCCTGTAAAGAATTTTAAAAAAAAATTCAATAATCATGTGCTGGCAAGTAAAAACTTGCATTATTACATCAAAGGATGTTCTCAAAGTACCAAAATCTAAAACCAACTTATTTCATGACTAAAATTTACCTCACCCTACCAAAACATTATAAAACAAGCTTAGATTAAAAAAAATCCTGCAACCATATTTAAATCTTTGTAAGATCTGCCTCAAAAAAGTTAAATTCATTTCTAGCTACCTCTATAAGGAACATTTTTCTGAGATGTTCACTACTACCTTTTTGACAATTAGCAGCAATATTGTAATAAAATGGAAACTAAATTTTATGATTGTCTTTAACAGTTCTGC